AATTTTCTGCTCATATTCGTTTGGTTTTGGTTGGTCTATAGCGGCTACCGTTGTGCTCACAGCTGTCTGGTCACCTTCGCCAGCTCACTAATATCCATTGGCTGCACTGCGTTAACCAGTTGTAATCGCCGAGAAATGTGGTCTGGGACACTTTCGATGAACTCTGAAGGCAGTAACTGTGCTTCTGATTCCTCATCCAAAGTGGAAAGCGCACGCTGAAGTAAATTCGTCAATTTCACCACAAATACTGAAGAGTCTCCATCAGGTCCCAGCTTCGTTGACCGGAACTGCTGCATTGCTAGCTGTCTGTCTGTTTCGCTGTCAAACTCGGACACTAGTCGTTCAAACAATGTCTTCCAAGACGCTGTGCCATTTGACCTGTCTACGCTGTCATATGCCGCCTTCGCTCGGCCTCTCAACAGCGTCCCCAGGACAACTGCCTTCGCCGCCTGCTCCTTGACACCCACCAGCTCAGCAACGGCCTCGAAGTCACGTAAGAAGCTCCGTATGTCTCCTTCTTCAAACGCATCTGGCCACGGGATCTTCATTTTTTGGAGGCAGCGACAACTATTGTAACGACAGAAGACGGGCTGGCAACAGATCGTTTATCAAGGAAATTACCACGTATTTACATACTTTCATGTACATTAATATAGCTTATTCAAGCAAACAAACACACTCTTATGATTGGTTGTTTCTCACAGAAAGTTGACCTTACATCTCTTTGTGACTGCCCCTTGAATGTAGGTCATCGATATGTTAACTGTATCTGCCCACGCAAAGTCTGCTGTGATTGGTTGTTGAATCAGTCTTGTTCGTATTTTCTCAGGATCAATATTTACCCCATAAACATTGACGTAAATTAATGTCTACCAATTTGGCTAGCAGCCTGCTCTCTTCGCAATGGTACATCTTCCCTGACCGACATCAAAACAAAGTTAACCGAGGAAGGTAGGCTTGGTGTGCTGACGAATTGTGGATTTGACCGCAAAGAGGTGGTTTAAGCTTCTTAATTGCCAGCTAGGGCCCCCACAAGCTGTAGAATACGCCCAAAACGAGTTTTATAAATGGGTTTAAAAGATGTGTGAACGTCAATTTTACATCATGTCTCTCTAATATGATCATATGCCTTGTACGACGGCGATGTCTCATCATTTGAGGGACATCATGCCATTCAATGGCGTCTTCTTCACCGTTTGACCCACCTGTGCATTGAATGAAGCTAGATTTGCGCATCTGGTGGCTTGTTAAGCGATGTTGCCCTGGGTCTTCGACCAACACTAAGCTTTTTCACTGGGCGAACTACGATTTAACCTTCTCAATGTGAATTCACTAGAAATAATTTTGGGCCTGTCGAAGAAGCTAACAGCATGGTTGTAATCTAAGCACTGTTTGGTTTTCCCCTGTGTAGACAGTTCGCTACTCTCAAAACGCAGCAATGCCCAATGGGAATGGGGGAAAACAAAAGTTACCGATCATCACAGCGCCTAAATGATGTTTACACTTATGGAAGAGTATAGAAAGAATGAGAGAATTATCAATATAAGAAAAAGAATAACAGTAAAATTTGATGGTATAAGGGTGGAGAAAATTGTCTGTTCGCAAGTAGAAAGAATGTCAGTTAGTTAGTTCTTGCGTAACATTATTTTCCTCATATCAAATTCGTCTCAAATATGGCACCTAGGAATGGTTGTACCTAAGCACGAACGCATGAAGACTTTGGATGTGACTTCTTGTTTTACCTAAGGAGACACGGTGAAATCTGAGTGAAGTGGATGCTCACAGTCTGACAAAACTCCTTTAGCGAATTTGCAGCGTGAAACTAAGTACCCATCAATGACGATATCAACGACACTGCCCAACGAGATATCACTCGTCCTACTGACAGTCTTCAGAGTTCCACGAAGCATGACATAGTCGTTTCTAAGCAACTCAGGAGAGAATAAGGATGAACAGTAAAGAAGAATAGGTTAGATACACGAGTTGACAGACTGTAAGAGAAGGGTAGTTCAGTTATGTCTGAGTGCCCTAACCTCTTTTAGAAATCACTCAGAAGTGGAACGACCAAGATGGATCAGAAGATAAAATTAATCCAAGATACTTAACGTCAGACTTGATTTTTACATCAATATCATCAATTTTGCAACCGTCATAGGAACCAACAGCTTCACTTAACTTTCTTTTACATCGGAAACTGAAATTAACAGTCTAACATTTGGAAGGATTTAATTTAAGACCATTAGACGAAGACAGTTTACTAATTCCTGATAGAAAGCCGTTCATCTTGGTACAGTCTTACTGGGAGTTAACCGACATTGAAACAGTTATGTCGTCTGCATACTTAACAAAGTTGATTTCATCAGAGTGAGGCAAGTCATACAAGAAGAAAGAAAACAGAAAAGGAGAAAGAACAGAGCTTTGATGGACGCCAGCCTCAGTAAACATTGTAGTGGATGACTTTCCCTTACATTTAGTTTGCTGCTTTCTTTCTGAGCAATAGGAACGCAGCAAGTGGAAAATACAACTCTTGTTATGAGTTTCAGCAAGCCTACTCAACAAAATATTCCTAGGTACTATGTCAAAAGTAGACCTGTAACCAAGAAAGGCACAAGGAACAAACGTAGCTACTTTATTTAAACTGGCGATGATGATGCGGGACTGCAGATGCAACTGAAGTACTTCTACTGTGTTTGTAGGCTAATTGCTTGAAATCGTTAAGGGCTCTATATGAATGTTCATGATGAAGTAAAGCAACTTTTTGTGATATAGTTTTGTTCTCTAAGCTGGATGATTTATTCGCGAAGCTTCCACTGCACTACTAGACAATACACTCAGCGCGCATGCTTCAGTCTGATTTAGAGTGAGCGTTCAGATTTCTCTACGAGATTATTTTTCAACTCTCCGGGTGGGCGACCTTGAAGGTCACCGCTACTAGCTTTTATATGTTTTCACGCCATCTAGGCTACTTGTACTGGAGCTGATAGTTTCCTTGACTTGAACTTTGACCCTTTATTTGTGAAATTTCCTTCTGATCAATCGGCGAACTTTGCCTGTGTCGATCCGTCTGTTGACTAACACTTCACTGGAATACCAGGCTTCTAAAAATTCTCTAGCGTTCTTGGTGTTTCCCCTGTCTGATATTTGGCCGTTGGTTGTCCCAGTCGAACTGATGTTCAGAGCGACTTTATTGCATATCCCCGCAATGACGCTTGTTGCCATGTTGCTATTGGTTGCAAGTAGCCTTGATTTTGGAGGAAGATTTAACTGATGTAATATTGCGATTCTATAGACATAACTCAGGCTCATAGGTGAAAGGAAGTTATTATCTTGGAATAAAAACAATTGTCCCTAAATTGTTCATAAGGTAAGGAGGACATTATTTTTCAGTTTATTTGTATATATACCATTGTGCATCGATTTGCACTGAGTTCCTAGTGCAAGTATATGTAACTGCATTTACACAGAGTAAAGCATTAAAAGTGCTCCTGTTTTTAGAATAAAAAACATGATTCTTTTCATTAAGTCTAGTAGTGAAGAATGGAATTTCTTCAACGTCAGTGTTGTTTAGTTGAGGTTTTAATCTCTGTAGGCCCTTAAAAGAATAAATTCAGCACCGAGAACTCCTTTGGGAACCAAAAGTGCTTTCAGTTTACTAAATCTTACTGAATTCCTTTATAAATTTGATATCTGTCAAGTGTTTATGTGCGTCGGTGGCACAGTGGTTAGGACTCTCGCCGACCATGCACATGGTCCGGGGTTCGAGCCCACGCCGGCGCACACCTGACACTATGGTCGGCTTGCAAAATTTAGGCTACCGATATCCATGCTGAAAATTCCATACTTGTACCAAAAATACAGTATGGAATCAAGCTGTAAATAAAAAATAAAAGTCTGATGCAATATTCAGTAAAGTAAAAGTTGTAGTGCATAATTCCTAGACTTGTTGTAGTCATTGATACTGCCAGGATACCACTTACTCGTTTAATGAAGCCGAAATATCCAATTCTCGCTTTATTGAGGAAACACTATATTGCCTGCAAAAGTAGTGCGTCATTTTATGAGTTTCATAAAGCCTAAGGAATGTTTTCTACTCAGTAATTACTCTTTGCGAATTATCCGAGAAAACACATTTCCGAGCGGGATATAACACAAGGCTGGATTCTTAAACTGTCATCCTTATATCAGTTCAATTCAATCACACATATACTAGTAGGATAGTCTGTAATTGACTTTAGAGACTTATCAGGGAATAGTCTCATCAACTTACAGTTCGCTGATGATATTGTCCACCTAGACTATAAGAAGTAACCCCTGATGTTGTAAAATATTAAAATAATACCGTTGTCTGATGTTCATGGTTTTCCATACGCATTAATGCGAGCGAGGGAGTGGATATAATGTCTTTTGACTCCTAGTTTATGATCATGGATACGAAGAGTAACATTTACGAATTGATGCAGCACATAATAAACCAAAAAATTACTCCACCCAGCTCTGTGTCAGTCAAAAACTCAACAACGATAGAAGATAAAGCCAACATCATCTGCAAAATACATTGCAACGACTGCGAAAAAAACTTCATTGTCCAAAGTGGGTGTACCCTTGGTCTTCGTGGACGAATGTGCACACTAACTGATAACTTCGCCAATAAGATTTTCTTCAGTGCATCTGTGTGTTTTAATTTTTTCGCGTGAAAATTGGATTGCCACAGTTAAGAAACCAGAGTTTTATGAAGCAACAAATGCGTGGAAACCAAACAATTAAGAAGGCTTTAGATGAATACGTAACCTCAAAACCTCTTAAGAATAACTTCAGTCTAAGTTTATTTCTAAGCTATTGTGGTGCAAAACAACGAAAGCTGAATATGAGTAAGAGTGCATAAATTAATTCCTTTACATAATTTGCACGCCATACTGGTCCTCAGCTACCAAGAAAGGGGTGCAAAGGTACCAAGTAGGCTTATGTGAGACAGTTGAAACATATCAATTATTGGAATCCGATTCGTCAGTTTCAAGGTCAAGGCCGATTGTGTGCGACACCTTTGATTTGTGAAAAAATGGGTGAATGTGTGAAGCGGTGCGACCATCCGTTTGGTAGTAGTCAGTCAACTAGTGGAACTTCACACTTAAAATCTGATGGCTCCCTGATAGACGAAAATATGTTTGGGGAGAGAATAAGTAAAGCCTTTTCACCTCCGAAAAACAGATTGGCTCCCCTTCTTGGAAAAAAGCTATTCATGCATTATGAATCTGGCACACTTCGTGATAAACAAGTGGAGCACGTGTTAAAGAAACTTAAAGGTGTAAGTAAGAGGTTTGAAAGTGACAGTTTTCCACTTGATGACTTCCAGTTACTCATTCGCTTATCGGAAACATTGGGATATTTACCATATCGGTTAATCTTGTAGTAAATTTGTCAAGAAGATCCACTCCCTCTTCAGTTGTGCATTTTTTGTCACATATATACGGCCTGATCCTTCTACCCACACTTAGGAAATTGAGCATCGAGAACAACTTGCTGTAATTTTTTCGGCACCTTTCAGCTAAACTAGTTTTTTTCAAGTCGAATACCGAAATTATTAATTTGATTACCATAAGACCTCAAATTATTACACCATAGTCTCACACAACCGTAGTAAGGGAACTCCAAAGGAAAGGATGTCGCAGTTACACGGTTGACTATAGCAGAAGTGGAAAAACTAAGACAAAACGAAAGATTATGTTAAAAGCATTTTGTTGTTATTCTCCTTATCGACAGCTGTTTTTCCCTTCCTCACCGGAATTTAGGAAGTCGTCGAGTTTTTCAGCCGAGATGTGCACTACGTCATCACAAATCGCCCGTCCCCTCGGCTGCCATCAGTAGCTTCAGGTGAGGAATCATTGAGTGCACCCCTGAAAAAGTCTATTTCACTTCAAAACCAACATTCTACTTCCCAAGTGCTAAGCAGTCTTAAAGTCCCTGTACTTACAGGCAGTAAGTCAGTGAACAACCCCGTAACACGTGGTCGTGCTATGCTTCTTGCTGCCCGCAAAATCGCTACTGAAGATTCAATTGCTACTCCTTCTAGTCGTACAGCATCATCAGTATTAAGTCAGGTAAGTTCTTTATCCGTTTTATTCCCACTCCAAGTCTCAATCAGCTGGTAGCAGCTTCATACTCCGCGCCTATAATCGGGGTCTAATGAGTAACAAGTCGTCCTGTGGCTTATCATTTATTGCAAATTATGCAAGTGGTTACGGAATTTCACTTCGCTTCTGAATGTAATGTCCTGGTATTCTTAATGATTTGTATATTGCTTGAATGTCGACGTCTGTAGTCTAGTAAGGCAGCAGGAGATAGTTCTGTGGAGCCAGCAGTGATCTAACAGCTGGATTCCTCTCACATCCTTAGCTCGGAAATGCTGGTTTTAAAGGTCTTAGCGCTAAACTACACTCACTGAAGCATTGCAAACTTGACAGTTGGAGGTCAGACTAACGTCTCAATGACACAAAAGGTGCTCTAGGCTGGTGTGCGCTGCTGTGGTCTTCACTTTGCAGTTAAAGTTGACAAGCCTCTCAGAAACTCCTCCCTATTACAGACAATTCCAGAGAGCACTTCTATCCAGTGAATCGAAAGTAGTTTCGAATATCTAGATAGATATACAATGTCTGTTAGCAACTGTCGAAGAGTAAACACTTTATCAGTACTTCCACAAACTGATCGAAAACCCAATCTACTTTTCGCGAATCACTTTCTCAGTTGATCAATATAGCCTGAAGAGCTAGACACTAGTCGGTATTTTATACTCAACTGGTGTGTTACGTATGCCAAGCCATCGCCTCCCTCGACGAACAATGTTAGCGGATATAGGGTCAGGCTGGAAAAAAGCTAGCGGTGGTCAAACAAAAACATGGCTTTACCAGTCAATGAAATCCACAACAGTTGGTCTAAGCCACGTAGGAAGGTGTAGACTTCCAGGCTGGGGTCCTCGGGACGGTAAAAATCAGTGGTTGGAAACAACTGGTGACATGGCTCAAAATCGTTCTCAGTGGCGCAGATGCATCCAATCCTTGTGATTTATGATTTCCAATGAAACTGTTTTGTTCTTCGTTATTACCTTCCTTTGTCTCACACCTCTGCTCATTGTCTCTATTATGCTTTTCTTGTACTTTCTTCTCTTGCTTTGTGTGCTACACGGAGGGAGTGTGGCGACTTGAACTGCCGCACATATATATGTGCAAAGTTCTATGTCGAAAACAGACATACTCAACTGGTAACGGACTAATACCCCAACGACTGTCACATACCCTGTGTAAGCACTTTCTAAGGATGGGTACAATAATAGCTGCACTGAACGTTGATGGGATATTTCTACATTCTACATACTTTCCTAAACAGTTCACTCAGGCGTGAAACGTATGACACTCTGTTATACATAGTGGTAGGTTGGCAGTGTTTCTGTGACTACTTTGTGACTCAAAATAGATTAGTCAGAAGTTGATTTGGAACTATTTTTGTCAATTAAATATTTTGGATCTAGAGTGAAATTTGTTCTAGTTAGGAAATCCCTCAACGAAAAACCAAACAGCAGTATAATCATTGGAGTTTTCACGTTTTACTCAACAAACAGAAATAGGATTACGTATCTGTTTTATACCTGTAAAGCGGTTATGACAAAACTGCAGTTAGAATTCAGCGATTATTTGACATCACTTCAACGATGTAACCACCCCCTAGATTTTTCATCCAGTCGGTTCCATTTACTAGTATGAATAAAAAAAGGAGAACCAACAAAGTTTCAGGATAATACCGGCTCGTTTTATTTCGTGGAGTTTTTTTTTGTCATTGTCGTTATTGTCACATACGGATTACAGTCATCTGAAATTTGTTTTGTAGTCAGTTGCCTGTCTTATTGAGATCTGTCTCCGTGGTGTTCTGAGTCGTTAGGCATTTGCTTTCACAAAGATTTCTATTGAACTCTCTACTTTATCACAATTTTTACACCATGATACAAATCCCTCAACAGGCAAGTTTGACGTTATCTCTTGAAAACCTTCCTGTTCATGTATACAGAGTCTTAAAGACCTTCATAGGAGGTCCGAATAACTTTGCCGTCAATTAATTAAGTGTAAGTCACATGTTGTGCGTGTGCTCATCAGGGATATTTTGGCATCGTCATTCTGCTTAGCTGATTCCAATGTCACAATAATCATTGACTCTGATGGTGGACTGCTTGACTTGGTTTTCTTCACAATTGGTTAACATGTTGTTAGGTGAAGAGGTTTAGTTAAACTAAGAAGTAATTGGCAAAGAGAAACGATGTCTTTACACGTCATTTTTACTTACACACTAGCGAAATGCGGCTCAAACTCATCTAAAGGTGAGTTCTATTATCAGTTAAGTGTTCCCGATAGCGTCGTAGTATTATTTGTGTACATGAACACACAAGCCAGATATCTAGGCTCATACAAGAGTCTGTTAGTTATTCTCTGAGGACTAGATCGTTTTTTATTCCTTTATGTTCCCAGTGGAACATAGGGCTTCAAGTTTCGGTAGCAGTGATGTTTATTTTTACGGGATAGGGTTGCTAGCCTTATGCCTAACTTTCCCTCTTCACCAGTCTTATTACTGGCTTAGCGAGGTGAAGGAGTGCGTTGGTGGCCGGAGATCGAACCCCGAACCACATGCGTGGTCGGTGAGCATTCTACCGCTGTGCTACCGACACACGAGAACTAGATAGTTACCGATTAGATAGTAAGGAGGTTCTAGTAAACATTTTACAACTTCTTAATGCCTGACATATCTCTGGATGTCGAGTAGAGTCTGACTAACTGAACTGGTTTCAACGTAGAACTTTGTGCAGATGTGCAGCAGTTCGAGTAGCTTCACTCCCTCCTTGTAGTTCGCAAAGCCAGAGAAAAAAGCAATAAGGGATTCAAAAGAAAGATAATAAAACAGTAGCAGGAAAGGGAAAAGAATAGTGATATGGAAGAACAATATAGTTTTATTGGATATGGGAAATCTCTCACAAAGAGTGAATGCATCGGCGCTAGCCATCACTGAAAACCAGGATTTTGAGCCATATCATCAATTATCTGTCTCCACCCATTGGTTCTCACCATCCCGAAGGCCCCAACAAGTTTACACCTCCCTACATGGCTGGCTAACTCAAACTAACTGTTATGGATTTCATTGATTGATAAAGCCATGTTTTGGTGTTTGACCACCAATAGTTCTTTTCCATCCTCATCTATCCTATGTCAGTCAGCTAACACTGCCCGTCGACGAGGAAGGCGATGGCTAGACATGCATGCGTAACACATGTCCTAACAATCTCATTCGATGTAAATTCACAACATCTTCGATTGATTTTCCCCTCCTTACCCAATACTCGACCGACGCCTAACCTCAATATTGCTCACTTCACACGAGAGCTAGAACTCAAGCACCTATGATCAAAGACAGCTATTCAGGCTTTTCATGTCTTCCACTTTCAATGGCGATGTCTTACCGACAGTGATGAAGGAAGATGAAGAGAACTGCTGAGCAGTACATACACCTTTTGGTCGATAACCAGCCGGATTTCACGTCTGCTAAGTCAGAGATGGCGTAAACTGGCATATGCCAAATGGCCCTTCTGCACCTGTGCTGAGATTTCGTCAGCAATCAACCCGTTGGCGTTGACTGATGCAACTCCCCAAATAAGTAAAGTAGTGGTCAACACAGTCTACCACTTCACTTCCTTTCTCTAGGCTAGGAGTCAAGGGGTAAAGTGTTATGCATTAATCACTTCCACGCAAAATTCCACTTCTGTAGGACGGTGAAGCCTATTGGTTACACAGTGTGAGTGAGGTAGTCTTGGAAACGGTAACTGGTTGTCCCTGCAGATATCTTGGACATCGTTGCCTGTTTCGCATGCTGTGATAATAATGGAAGTGTTCTTCGGCATTTTCTATTATATAAGGGTTTTCCTTAGTAGTTTATATTGCTCGCGTTTTTTTTGTTGGATACATTTTTTACATAGATTTGAATGGTAGACCGTTAAATTTTAAAACACAACATAAATATCTTCTGGTGTGTGTTCACATTTAGTATTTCTTTCCATTTTCATTTCATTTTTTATTCAAAATCTAGGTTCAAGCCTCCAATGATACGTCTTCTATAATACAGTCCTCTCAACCATCTCTCACATCAAACACACTGGGATGTAGTCAATGGTCAAATTCAAATACTGATTTGTTATTCAAAGCTCGCCAGTTGGGTATTAAGATTCTTACTATTGATAGTAAGTTATAAATATACCTACAGTTTATATAATGATTTAAGTGTTTTATGGATCTTGGAGGTGTATTTCATCAGAGTATATGTCACCCTGAATGTACATAATTTAGAGGGATATTAAAAACTTGGGGGACAGTGGACAGCTGTTTCTTCCAGCTGTTTGGGACCCTTTCAGCAACACACCCATAGCCCCACCGGGGATCATACTCGATGGCCTGGACAGAATTCGATGACTAACTTCTGTCAACGGGTGATATATACGACTATCATCAACAGATGTCATTCACTGACCGACCTACTGGTTTCAGTATAGAACTTTTGTGGAGAAGTGCAGCAGTTTAAGTTGCCATACTCCATGAAACACACAAAGGAAGACTAAAGGGTGGACAGAAACGAGATACGAAAGGACAATAATAAGCAGAAATGTGAAGAAGAAAAGAGTAGCAGCATAGACCAATAGGGTTTAATGGATATAGCATATCACAAAGAGTTAATGCCTCTCTGCACCATTGAGAACGAGAATTTTGAGCCGAATCACCAATTCGATTTTAGCATTCTAATGACCTCAACCATGCAAGCAGTGTATACACCTCCTTACATACTTGGCTCAAACCAAGCTTTAAAGATTCCATGGACTGATACCATATTTTCGTTTGACCACAAATAGCTGTTTTCCCAACTGACTCTATCTGTCAGCTAACACTATCCGTCACCGAGGGAGGGAGGCGATGGCTAAGCATGCACAACACGTGTACCTTCACAACTCCATTGATAAATTTTCCCTGTTAACCTCAATATTACTCACCCTATTATACCGACTAACATAGGAGAAAAAATGAAGACACCTGTGCTCGAAAACATCTAGCCATCCTTTTTATGTCTTCCACATCCAATGGTCATGCCTCACCGACAACCATGCAGGAGGATGGAGTGAACTGCTGAGCAGTACATACGTCTTTTGATCGATAGCCAGCCGAATATCACGTCTACGCCAGAGATGATGCAGGTTGGCAAATCCCACACGAGCCTTTTGTATCCATGGTGATATCTTAGCAATCAATCAGTGCGTTGGGGTTGATGTAACTTCCCAAATAATTGAAGTGGTCAACACATTCAGTCACCACTTTACTCGATATCTTTAAGTTAAGAGTTGATGTATTCCAGTCCTCTAACATCATCTTGCATTTGACGGGAGCAAATCGCATACCAAATATTCGAGGATTGCTGCTCAAAGTGTTCAGAAGACTCTGCGTTTTCTCAGCGTCTTCACCTAGAAGCACTATATCATCTGTAAATTCTAGGTCAACGACATTACTCCCTGGTAACAATCCAATACGTAAGTGGCTGAATTCAGCAGTTAGGGTTAATTCCATTAGTACTTGTATGATGAAATTAAACAAGAAAGGGGTAAGTAGGCGTCCCTAACGGACAACACTGGCTGTCATCACTTCGGATGACAACTCTTCGTAAGTTCTTACACGGTTCTGTGAGTTCCACCAGTGCCTTAATTAGTGCCATGTCCTTTCATGGTATTCCCTTCACTGTCAAATATTGTCGATGGAGCTGAATTCCGCCGTGTGATCAAGAAATATGGCAACTGTTGGACACCAGTAAGTATGCCCACGTTGCACAATCTGTCGAATAGTGAAGACATGATCAATATGCCTAATGTAAAGCCTGTCAGTGTCATTCATAAATGTCTGTCCTCGTACTGTATCCGGTGAATCCCACCTGTCACGACTTCTCATTGAAACTTTAGAGAATTTCAACGTGGACTAATATTTAAGTGTTGTTTAATGGTGTTTGGCTATTATGTACATTTGTATTGTTGTAAATATTCTTTGAGTCTCTTTGTACATTTTCTTTCTTTTTTATGTATAATTTCAGCTGTAAATAAATGGATAAAAAATCTTCCCTCAGATGTTCAGTCCTATATTCAGGTATTTTTTGAAAGAAATTTATTCTATTCTAACAGTTTTGTAATAGCAAAAATAACTATTTCATACTTTTTGATCAATGTTATTTGTAATCAGGTCTATTTTTCCCCAGCTAAATGTTCTGTTAAAACGATATATAATTGCTAAATATTAACTGGGTGAATTACTGTAGGAGATGTAGCTGAACTTCCAGCCTGTATGCTCCCCTCTCGGGGTTCAGATTCCACTCATTCTACTTCACCTTAGATAACTGAATAATATCACACAATGTGTGCGTCGGTGGCACAGCGGCAGAGTGCTCGCCAACCACGCCTCACGTGGTCCGGGGTTCGACCCCCGGTACGCACCAACGCACTCCTTTACCTCACTAAGCCAGGTGAAGAGGGAAAGTTGGGTATAAGGCTAGCAACCCTACCCTGTAAAAATAAACACCACTGCTACGGAAACTTCTAGCCTGTAGCTTGAAGCCCTTTATTCCACTGGGGTCGTAAAGGAATGGAAAATTACAGAAAGTGTGTGACTCATAGCCTGAGACATCAGAATTCTCTACCCGGTAACTGATTTGTAACTGCGTGAATCTTTAGAATGATATAAATCAAGCATCGAGGGGTAGACAATCGGACTTCATAGCATCTCGTATTCTAGATGAAGTTATTGCTATATTATTGTCATTATTCATTCTTTGCAATCCTAGTGGAACAGTTCTTCAGCAAAATATCTCTATTGCATCCATTGGCTCTACAACTGTTCACAAGCTTTCATTCCCATCTCACACTATCTCCTTCTAGTCTCCCTCTGACGCCTAACCACATTGCTTCTTATTCGGATTCCAATATAAAGCCTGTTGTGTGGTGTCACTTGATCTCCTCAGCATATATCGGTTCCATCTACATTTCCTTCTGTGTATTTGTTGAGCAATATGTTCTTGGTTGGTTCGCTCAGTGACAGGACCTCCTTGTTACTCATCCATTATCATCAGCTATGTGATTTTCAGTATCGGGCGAAGACAAACATTGATGAAAGGGTTCAGCCTGCTAAGAAATCCTTTGGGTGAAGCTCTCTCTCCAAATCACTGACTTGACATTAGTGTTTTTGCAATTCGGGTCGACTCATAATAATTTCTCTTTCTATGTCGTCTACTCCCAGTTTGCTATCCAAATCAGAGTGATTCCCCAGTATCGCTCGCTTTTGTTTGAGAGTGCAGCTAGCCTTTACACAGCCAAGTGTGACCTACAAGCAGTAGGAGTGGAGTAGGGAGTCCACTATCCATTGGCAGCCGTGACCGGAGTCCGGTTCATACGCCTTTTTGAATGGGGCCAGACATCCAGGGCATCCAATAAGCTCTTTGTCCATACGTCTGCCGGTGAACTCCGGTGAGCTTCATACGCCAGTCGTTGGAGGTTTGGAATCAGGGTTTAGCCATCTCCCCTAGACTGTCATCCAATGGACAGTCAACCCGGTGAAGAGCGCCGGGCATCCGCTTTTGCCCTCTCACTTCGGCGAGAAACACCTCCGCCACGTGAAGGCAGTGAGTAGGACTTCCTCAGGAGAGGCTATGTAAGACGCACGGTCATATGGGAGCATTTCAAGAGGTGTACGGAGGGTGGCTAGCCCGCAGCGCAAGACACCCACCCCCGACCATCCTGAGGCCCATCTGACTGAGGTCTTACGCATTACTGCTTGTAGTTGATTGTAGAAGTTCTCCTTTTTCTCTTATTCTGCGTTGTTTGTGGGCGCATAGTGTTGGATGGTGATGAATTTTCTTCCTGTTATGTTGAATCTCACTGCTATAACCATGGATGACATTAGTTCCGGCTGCATGTGAGCTGTTGGTGATATCATGATAGCTACACCCTCAGTGTGCTAGTGGTTGTTGTCTAGATGACCGCAGTAGATTATTGGCTGTGCAGTTAACGATTAAGGTATTCCATTTCCCTCTCTTGGTATCGTTCGTGTACCGTCTTCTGAACACCTTGAGCAGAAATCTTTGAATGTTTGGTATGTGTTTTGCATCTTTCGAATGTTAGATCCATTTACAGGACTAGTCTGCACATAATCGTAGTCTAAAGATAGGTAGGTAGTGATCTGGTAGAGCGTATGTACCACTTCACTTATTTGGGAGGCTGGATCAGCCCCCTCCCCCCCACAACCTGATCGCTGACGAAATCCCAGAACACATACAGAATACTCATTTGGCATTCGCCAACTTATACCATCTGTGGTTTATACATGATACCCGACTATGGGCCAAAGGACCTGTATACTGCTCAATAGTTCGCTCTGTCCTCCTTCACTGCTGTGAGCTGGACATGGCCATGTGAAATGGAAGATACGAAAAGGCTAGCTGTCTTTGATCATAGGTGTCCTTGTTCCATATCCCATGTTAAGTGAAGTGATATAATAAGGTGAGTAATATTGAGATGGTTAGGCTTCGGTCGAGTGCTAGGTAAGCAGGGAGGGGTAATCAATCGAAGAAGTTGTATAGTTACATCGATTCAGATTGTCAGGACATGTATTACATATGCCTAGCCATCGCCTTCCTTGATGACGGCTAATGTTAACTGATATAGGATTAGATTGGAAAAGAGTGAGTGGTGGTCAAATGAGAACACAGAATCAGTCGGTGAAATATTTGACAGTTAATAACAATACTACTACTAATAATAATAATAATAATCTACTTTATTCCAAAAACACTACTGGAATTCTCAGCATTTGTCACAAGATTGCATTTGATTTACTCAAAATATGAATAAAATTAACCTGAGGAATTTGTTCACATTTTTATGGCATAAAGTCAAAAATATTAGAAGTACAAAATAAAAATAATAAATATAATAGTAAAGATAATAACAATGAGTTTGTTTCAAACACCATTGTCGATTCATTTTGAAAATTTAAGCATGTTATGGAGTATTGAATCTAATGTTCTGTTTATATAGCATATTGAGGGGAAATACAAAATTAACAGTTATTACACAGCTTAAATGATGTTCACACCTATGAAAAAATAAATAAAAACAAAAAATTGCGAGGTTTATAAATAAAAGAAAAACAATGGCAATAAAGCTTGGTGGGATAAGGATGGAGGAAATGGTTTATTTAGTAGTGCAAAGAAGGTTAGTTAGTTAGTTAGTTAGTTAGTTCATACCTGACACTATTTTCATCACATAAAATATTTGTCAAATTTGGTATAGTGGAATTTTTATACTTAGACGTACATGCATAAAGTCTTCTGAAAAGAATTCTTGTTTTACCCGAGGAGACACAAGGTTGGAGCTGCAAGTAGAGTGGGTGCTCAGAGTTTGACAAAATTCCTTTAGCGAATTTGTTACATGACATCAAGTGTCTGTCAGTGACAATGTCAACGATATGGCCCAATGGGATACCACTCGTCCTACTGACAGTCTTCAGAGTTCTACAAAGTATGACATAGTCTTTTTTAAGCAATCCAGGAAATAATAAGGGTGGACAGTAAAGAAGAATGGGTTAGATACACGAGTTGACAGACTAGTTCAGTTATGCCTGAGTGCCCTAACCTCTTTTAGACATCACTCAGAAGTGGAACGACCAAGATGGATCAGAAGGAAGAATTAATCCAAGATACTTAACGTCAGACTTGATTTTTACATCAATATCATCAATTTTGCAACCGTCATAGGAACCAACAGCTTCATTTAACTTTCTTTTACATCGGAAACTGAAATTAACAGTCTGACATTTGGAAGGATTTAGTTTAAGACCATTAGACGAAGACAGTTTACTAATTCCTGATAGAAAGCTGTTCATCTTAGTACAGTCTTACTGGGAGTTAACAGACATTGAAACAGTTATGTCGTCTGCATACTTAACAAAGTTGATTTCATCAGAGTGAGACAAATCATGCAAGAAGAAAGAAAACAGAAAAGGAGAAAGAACAGAGCTTTAATGGACGCCAGCCTCAGTAAACAATGTAGTGGATGACTTCCCCTAACCTACAGTGTACTGCTATATCTATGTCAAATGGTTTCAGTATTCTAGCTGTTATTTCACAGGGATATTCATCATATATGGCAGAGTGGATTATCTTGTAGTCTTTGATGATGGTTTCTGCTTGTTGTTATGACTCGATTTTAAACACCTTTTGATGAAATTGTGAGGATATCCATTCTTTTTTTGAATACAGTTAGTAGGTATTTGTCTTTCATTCTTTTGAACACTGGAGTGCTACAGTGTGTTTGGACTGTTTTTTTTAAACAATGTCTGCACACAGTTTCTTTTGTGAGTGAGTAATTGGGTTATTGCTAGCTAGTATAGTTGAGTATTTGATCAATGTGCGTTGGTTTTCTATACACTTGTGTTTCTAAATTTCCTGTGTTAGTTCTCCTGATTAAGACATCTAGGCTTCAGACAAATTGACCTCTAGACATTTCCATTTTTCAGGTGTTGTACAACAATGTCAATCATTTTCGTGTTCCATAGTTAATTCATTATGAAGTATTAAACTGCGTATAATTCAAATCTCTGTATGACCATTTGGTTATTGTTTGATAATAAAAATGAAGAGGTCAAAGCTTCTTTGATTGACACACAACTGGAAAGTGTCCTGACGACAGCAAAAAGACGCTTTTCCTTTGATATATAAAATCTGTGATACTGTTTAATAATAATAATAGTAATAATACATCAAAACTTTAAGTGCGTCAGTGACACAGCGGTAGAGTGCTCGCCAACCACGCCTCACGTGGTCCGGGGTTCGACCCCCGGCACGCACCAACTCACTCCTTTACCTCACTAATCCAGGTGAAGAGGGAAGGTTGGGTATAAGGCTAGCAACCCTACCCTGTAAAAAATGATTTACAGGACTGGACTACATCGACGCCTAGTTTAAAAATAGGAAGTGAAGTGGTAGAGCACGTTGACCGCTTCACTTATTTGGGAAGTACCATCAGCCAGTGCCAACGGGTTGATCTCTGACGAAATCTCAGCACGAATACAGGGGGCTCGTTTCGCATTTGCCAGTTTACGCCGACTCTGGCGTAGACGAGATATTCGACTATCGACCAAAGGGTGGGTGTACTGCTCATCAGTCCGCTCCGTCCTCCTTTATGGCTGTGAGACCTGGCCACTGAGAGTGGAAGACATGAAAAGACTAGCTATCTTTGATCATAGGTGCCTCCGCTCTATTTCCCGTGTGAAGTGGTATAATAAGGTGAGCAACATTGAGGTTAGGCGTAGAGTTCTAGGTAAACAGGGGAAATCAATCGACGAAGTCGTGAAGTTACAAAGACTGAGATGGTTAGGACATGTGTTACGTATACCTAGTCATCGCCTTCCTCGACGAGCAATGTTAGCGGATATAGGGTCAGGCTGGAAAAAAGCTAGCGGCGGTCAAACAAAAACATGGCATCAGTCAATGAAATCCACAACAGTTGGTCTAAGCCACGTAGAAAGGTGTAGACTTCCAGGCTGGGGTCCTCGTGACGTAAAAACCAATGGTTGGAAACAATTGGTGACATGGCTCAAAATCGTTCTCAGTGGCGCAGATGCATCCACTCCTTGTGACTTATGATCTCCAATGAAACTGTTTTGTATTTCTTTATTACTCCTTTGTCTCACATCTCTGCTCACTGTTTCTATTATGCTTTTCTTGTACTTTCTTCTCTTGCTTCGCGTGCTACACGGAGTGTGGCGACTTGAACTGATGCACATTTGTGCAAAGTTCTATGTCGAAAACAGATAGACAGACCACACGAGTCCAAGTGCCTGTCGACCAGAATATTAACAAGCTGGTTAAGTGGCACATTGCTTACCCTGCTGTGACAACCTTTAACATCCTGCGTAACAAGGTATAGTCTTTCTTCAGTAGCCCTGGAAAAACTAAAGGGGGACCAATAGAGAATAATAGACAGGATGCAAGAGTTAACGATTCGTAAGAGTAAGGGTTGGCTTGTTTCAGAATGTCTTAACTTCTTGATGTAGAAGATAAGATGGAATATTTTCTTAGAAATCAACAAGATATGAGACAACCAGGAAACATCAGCAGATGGAATGACGCCAAGATATTTGATTTCCGACTTGGTTTCTATTTCAGTGCCATCTATGTTGCACACCTCTATGCATATTTAAATTATTAATAGGTTGTGTGTCATGATATAAATAAACAGATCAATACTATTTTAAAAATTATTTTGTAGTCGGTACAACGAGGAGACAATGAAGATCAATTGAATGACGTGATAAATGATCCAGAACGAGATAGACTCCATGAAGGTAACTCTGATGTTTGTTTGTTTATATCTAAAAGCCATTTTTTTTGTTTATGTAAATTGCGAATAGTATTCTTTCCGCGTTGATATTATTATATCATATAATTTTTCTGTTCAATTATATTCCATTGTTTGTATCCAGTGTAGACGTGATGATGTCTGACTGGCTAGGGAACAAAGGACATCTGTACGTCTGCACATGAGCAGTTCTTTCCCATCCTCCTTTATGCCTGTTGAGAGTAGAATACATGAAAAGGCTGACCGACTATCTCTTCTTTGATCATACGTGCTCGCATTCTATATTTCGTGTTTCGCTGGCATAACAGGGTGGGTAAGGAGGGGAAATCAATCGAAGAGGTTGTGAAATTACATCCATTGAGTTGAATGTTTATGACATATGCTAAGCATGCATTTCTAGCAGTCACCTTCCTTGTCGACGGGCAATGTTGTCTGACTGACATGGGGTAGATGAGGTTGGAAAAGAACTTTATTATTATTATTATTATTATTATTATTATTATTATTGGTATTCCCTTGGGTTCCGGGTGGAACATAAGGCTTCAACTATTACATCTCCACTTTGTCTTTTTTCTGTCATCCTCTTCAGCTGGGTCCAAGATTGACCATAATCTCTCATTTCTTCCTCACACAATTTCCTCCATGTCACCCTAGGAACACCCACTCGTCGGTGGCACAACGATTAGGACGCACGCCGACTATGCATATGGTCCGGGATTCGATCCCCGGCTAACGCACACCTGATATCATTGGTTGGCCTGTTAAATTTAAGCTACTGATATCACATGTCGGAAATTCGATAATTGTACCATAATACTGTGTGAAATCAAGCTATAATAAAATAAATGAATAAAATTACACTTGAAGGTCTGCCACGCGATTTCATTCCATGGTTTCCTCAATGTATGCCTGATTCATCGTCATTTTTTCTTACGTATTTGTTGCGCAATCGGCTCTTGGTGGGTTTGTTGTCAGAGTTTATAGTTGCTAATTCTTTCTGGTCGGCGACCATTTGATCGTCAGTATAAAGCCAGCGGAACGGAGTAGCTGCTGATGAAAGTCTGCATCAGGCTGTTGGAAATCCTTCTCGTGACACACTGGTCAAGTTTCCTAGCTGCATAGAAGAACTGACTGACTTGACATTGGTGTTGAAAATGCGAATCTTGTTCATTATGCTCTGAGTGGCAGCAGAAGATTTCCAAACTGATTTCAGTTTGATGAAGGGCTATCTCGCCTTTGCGATTCTGGCCAGCTTTGACATCTTCATCCGTTCCGCGTACCTGTAGTTGGAACAACGCTTTCTACCCGGATAAGTGAAAGAGGTGACCTCTGTTAAATCTCTCCCCTTTGATGGCGATTGGTGCTGGTTGTTGTTGTTGTTGTTGTTGTTGACTGGTTATCTTCACCACCTCAGTCTTCTCTGTGTCCACCTGCAGTCCTGTTTTTGCTGCCTCTTCAGTCAATTTGTTGGTTTTCGCCTGCAAGTCTTCAAGTGCGATTGGCATTAAACATAACTCATCCACCCATATCTTTTAGAGTCGTCTTATCGGTAGTCCAGCGTATTCCCGTCTCCTTGCTCTCTGTGCACAGTCTGACGCATAATCCAGTCCACCACAATTAAGAATATCCTCGGTGATAAGAGGCAGTCAGCTTGTCTTACTCCTGTAATGCACTTCAAACGCCTCAGTTAGTTTTCCTTTGTGGATCACCTGATACGTGACATTTTCATATAACTGGAAAAGAACTAGTGGTAATGAAATACCAAAACATGGCTTCATCAGTCAGTGAAATCCATAACAGTTAGTTTGAGTCAGCCAACTCTAGCCACGTAGAGAGGTGTAGACTTTTTGGTTGGTTGGGGTCCTCGGAATGGTGAGAACCAACCAATGGGTGTAGACAGATAATTGTTGATAAGGCTTAAAATCCTGGTTCTCAGTGATGGCTGGTACAGATGCATTCACTCTTATTGTGATTTATAATGTCCAATAAATCTGTATTGATCTTGCATATTACTGTTCTTTTTCCCTCACACTATTTAATAACCCCCTTTTGATGAATCTCTATTGTTTCGTGTGGTACATGTGTAATGATAGAAGACAAGAGCCAGGCAAGAGATCGTTTACTGAGGAAATCAACAGATACTTATAGCTTTTTATCTACATTGTTATTCGTTATTGTTAGCAGAGAGGCAACGTCTTCTGATTGGCTGTTTTCCTGCTGAAGGTTATTCTGTCATCTCTTTGTGGTTGTTTCTTAGACAATCCGGTGACATATATCTGTGACTCGTGTCCGACCACGCTAAGTCTGCTGTGATTGGTTGATGAGTTAGTCTTTATTCTTGTGTTTTTCTGATGAGCAAGATTTGGGACGTAAACATTGACGTGAATTGCTGTCTGCCAATGTCGGCTAGCAGACAGCTCTCACCACACATTGAGGGAGTGTGGCAGGTGTGTGAACTGGTGAACTTCTGTGCTAACCCCTGTGTTGAAACCGGTCAGTCAGGGAAGAGGAGGTGCTTTTCATCCAATAATTCATTTTCTCTAACTGTACAGTTGCATCTATATACATTTTTCCATAAAGGTGTACGGTAACAAAAATGATGAATTATCATAATCACAGTTACTCACATTAGCCGTTATACAAACCGACGCGAAGAACCTAGAAGACCTGGACTTCGCGGGTGATTTATGTTTGATGTCACACAAAATCGAAGACTTGGAAGCGAAAACCGACAAACTGGTCGCAGAAGCAGCCAGCGAAGACAGGACTCCAAGTGAACATAGACAAGACGGAGGTGATGAAAATAACCAACCAACAACAACAGCAACATCCAGCGTCAATCACCATCAACGGGAGGGATTTGAAAGAGGTTACTTCACTCACTTATCTAGGGAGCATTGTCTCAACTACAGGAGGAGCGGACGAGGACGTCAAATCGAGCGAGAATCGGGAAGGCGAGAAACACATTCATCAACCTGAAATCAATCTGGAAATCTTCGTCACTCAGCCAGCATCAACAACAAAATTCCGTCGGTCGGATTTCCAATACAAACGTAAAGTCAGTCAGTTCTTCTATACAGATCAGAAACTTGGCGGGTGTGTCACAAAGAATATTTCCAACAGCCTGTTGCAGACCTTTATTAACAACTGTCTTCGCTCTGTACTGAAGATCGGATGGCCGGGGCGGAAAGAATCACCAACAAGAAACTATGGGAACAAACAAAGCAAGAACCAATCGCCCAACAAATATGCAGGAGAAAGTGGAGATGGATCGGACACTCGCTGAGGAGGCCACTGGGTGACATCGCACGTCAAGCCCTCGAGTGGAACCCGAAAGGGAAGTGGCGTGTGGGACGTCAGTGGAAGGGTGACATGGAGGAGATCGTGTGAATAGGAGTTGAGGCAGTATGGACTGAGATGGATGCAGGTGAAAAGTACAGCAGAAAGAAGACAGAAGCAAATGGAGACGTGCAGTTGAAGCCCTATGTTCCACTAGGAACCCAAAGGAGCAATAATAATAAATAATACAAAAGGAGTTAAAGTTACTTAGTGAGATAAGCAATATAGTTAATGAGTTGTAATCAGAGGGTAAAATGTGACATTTTTTAAAATTGCGAAAGAAATAGAAGAGTTATAGAGTTAAAAAAAACATCAAAATTGTTACCGTTATAAGAGTGGTTGAAAGAATCCTTTTTTGTATGCATAGACCTGGTTTCTCTATCTGAATGTTTCAAACTTCAGCAGTCCAGAGGTGGACGAAAGCGTATTGTCTTTTGGCAGGCTGTTGTTCACCTTTTCTGCGGATTACTTTAAAGGAGGAGTTTTGTTGAGATAGAATGCCCAGTGTCGATATGATGTTTTACTTATTGTGTGCACAACTTACATAGCTACTGCTACTGGGGTGGTGTGATACAGACAATGTGTTCCAACAAAATGTTATTCTCACATATTCCCACAGTTCAATACTGCATTAGCAACAGAATACTAAGTATGCGTTTGAACATTCTATTTCTTGTCATCTGGCCAACAGCAACAACAGACAACAATCAGCCAGCATAAATAGGAGGAACCTGAAAGAAACAACCTCCTTTACCTACCTGGGAAGCATCGTATCAACTACACGCTGACGGAACTGACGAGGATATCAAAGCAAGGATTGGGAAAGCAAGACAAGCTTTCATTACTCTCAAGTCTGTGTGGATGTCAACAGCACTCAGTATTAAAAGTAACATCCGGATTTTCAACTCCAATGTCAAGTCAGCGCTACTATGTGCGGATCAGAGATTTGGCGCTTCATAAAGAGCACCTCAAACAAACTACAGACCTTCATCAACAGCTGTCTTCGCTCAATACTTTGCTCAAGATCAGATGGCCGGCCAGAAAAGATCACCAACAGGGATCTCTGGCAGTGAGCGAACCAACCAGGAACCGATTGTGCAACAAATAAGCATGAAGAAATGGAGGTGGATTGGTTGGTCATACCCTGAAGAGACCATCAAGTGACATCACTAGACAAGCCCTCAAGTGTAACCCGAAAGGGAAGTGGCGAGTTGGTCATCAGAATAAGGGTGACTTGGAGGAGGTGATGCGAAGAGCAGATGAAATCATGTGGTCAGACGAGGAGCCAGGTGAAAACTCTAGCAGAGAACCGAACGCATTAGAGACGTTTGGCTGAAGCCCGATGCTTTTCTAGGAATTAGAGGAAATAATAACAATAAAAATTTCATGTCGTTTAAATGTAAACCAAAGTCACATGCTCAATGAGTGATTAAAGAATATAAACTGTATATGTATATAAATGGCGGTTTGATCAATTGAAAATATACCTTGGCTTCCGTGTCTTGCCTTCTGTTGTTACACGACCTTTCTACCACCATGCGAGACAGTGATATTGGAATCTTTTCTAGACACCGGACCAATACATCTGATGGTTCCACAGGAACAAGTGAACTGATAAATGCGTATAAAAGTGATCAGATGCAAGATTTTTTCTTCTCATAATCATGAATAAGTGGATAGTATATATTGCATCATTTGAAGGACGATTATTACATAATTCAGTGTGTTTTTGCTTTTGCTTTTGTTTTCCATTTTTGTATTCCAGTTCGACACCTTGTAAGTCCATGTATCAAGGTGATTGATACAAAAAATCATTACAGGCCTATTTATTTGGATAAAACAGACTATTTACCAGAATTATGGAATTTAGTTGATCGTTACAAGTCGAAATCAAAATCTTCACAGGAAATTGCCAGTCGTGGTGGTGTACAAGATTGTTCATCATCGCCAATGCCATTGACAAGTACTACTACCAATGTTGGAACTCCTGTCGCTATCACCACGACCATTGCTACTACTGCTGCTATGTGTAGTGGTAGTGTTCCGGGAGCAAGTGTTGGCTTCGCTGTACACAATCCAAGTCATCTTATCTCTGGGACAACAGGTACACAATCAGTTTTAACGCGTAAAGGCAGTCGGGCAAAACGGAAATATCGACTACAGAAACACAATACGGCTACACCATTACAACGTACAGCCTCTTTAGCAGTGAAAGGAATTGATAGGTATTTAATTATTTTAATGATTATTATTATTATTGGGCAAATAATTTTGTATTTTGTTCAGGTGGGTTGGTTTAGTTGTAAATGCTAAGGTGTGTGCATAGTGATTGACTGGTGAAAATGGTTTAAGGTGTAAAGCAGTCCCTAGATTGATTAGTACCCTTTTGAAGCCCGTTGAATTGACACCGTAACGACTCTGTACGCCCTAATATATATTCCGATATAGAGTGATTATTTATTTATTTAAACTTAGAAAAAACTTGGTGCAGTATGGCACCAAGAAAGATGCGCCACACAATAATAATAAAGCAACATAGATCAAAAGTAAAAAAATATAAGTAGAGAATGGATAAAGAACTTCATCTGGAAGGAAAACAGTCATGCTTAACAAATTCAAACAGTATTCGTTAACTATCATCGGGAACGGAAGAAAGAAGGAAATTGCAACACGTTCACCGTTGATTACGATTCTTGGCCATATCTGATAACGTTTCGAGCTACCTCTCGGACCCCAACCAGGAAGTTGTGACGCACCAACCGATGCTAATCTAGCACAAAAGTCCTTCATCCCACGACGCCACGTCACGAACTGACCACCTCTCCTGCTTTTCCATCCCGTCCCAGGGCTGGCTAGCAAACAGAGACCTGTACGGAAGCCTCTGGGATGACATTCGCAGCACATGTCCAAGCCACCGGAGCCGGTGTTTCCAGATGATGACACTCAATGAATGGTGATCTCCACTGTGTTCAAACACACGCCACCGAACCTCAGAATCACTCACACGATGATGCCATCGAACGCAAGCAATCTTGCGGAGACAGCGATAATCGAACACACAGAGTCGCCGCACATCCTCAGCCTACTCGGAGAGGCCAGGTTTCACAGGCGTAGAGCAAGCCAACCCTCACTGAAGCATTGTATACCCGACCTTTGACAGCCAGGCTAACGTCGCGACGGTGCCAGACGTGGCTCAAGTTGATGTATGCCACCCGAGCCTTCATTATACGGTTGGAAATCTCATCCGTCACCCCTCCGCCAGCACTCACACAACTACCCAGGTACACAAACTTATCCACAACTTCAAGTGGTTCACCTGCGAGAGTGAGTGCAGGGTACATGTTTCTGCCAATCTTGTAACAGTACTTTGCACTTCTTAGATGGCGTAAAGTACATACCATACTTACAGACACTGATCGCTAACTGATAAAGTGCGATTTGGGCAGCCTGCAGGCTATCGCACATAGAATGAAATAAAATGCTGATTGAAAAGAGACTGTATGAGATATATCTAGTTAAATGAGTATAACAGTTATGGGAGACAACGAAGTCGGTCGCTGAAATTGTTTGTATGAAAATGAAGTTCAGTGACATCCTGAAAGCCTTGTGCAGAAACTTAGGTAGAGTGAGATCAATTCAACCAGCTATCATAGTCGTCTTGAACTAACAATGGAGTTAAACAGGCTTCCACGATTCCTCCTTATTTTGCCGTCGCTGCGTTGTGGTGTTGGCATAGATTCGCTGTCTGAAGGAAGACCTTTTGTCTATGGGTATGCAGACACGACATCATCTTACTGTGCGATGACACACACACACAAGGTGCTCAAATCGCAATTAGTCAGGTGGCGATCAGTGTCAGTAAGAATGTGATGATGTGCCATGCTCCATCGAATTGCAAGGTATTTTTACAAGATTGGCACCAGCCTGTGCCTGGACTAACTTTCGTAGGTAGATCATAAGAAGTGATCGATAAGTCCATGTATCCAGGTATTTGTATAGGTGCTGGCGGAGGTATGACAGATGAGATCTTTAACCGTACAGAGAAAGTCAGGCTGTCATATGCCAATCTGGGTCACCTCCGACATTAGTTTGTTTGTCGAAGGTTGGGCTTACAATGCTCCGGTGCTCTCAGGTTTACTCTGTGACTCTGAAACCTGACGTAGGATGTGAATTAACCCTGCGTGCTGGATCATCGATGCCTTCGTATTACAATTTGCATCCGGTGGAATATGTTTCCAAGGTATGGCGATCCTGCTGCAATTTACGCCTTACTTCTCTTTCTGAAAGTAACACGAAGCAATGAGTCATTCTTTTTTTCAAGTTTGAGAGAGAGGGGAATTATTGAGAACCAGGGAGTACTGGACATCTGTTTCGTCCTAGTTTGGGACTCACTGACGCTACGCAACCACCAACGAGGTTCAAACCCAGGACCTAGCGGGTACAGGGCGAGCTTGTAGACCATTCAACCACTGGAACCCGACTCAATGGTCCATGGATTTGAACATCTACCAAAATTAATCTTATGCACGCTAGTGACTGACTGGCTACAGGATGAAGACTCCTGGAGTTTTAGTGGGAATTCGCGACCAGGGGAGTTTCTCCGTTTGGGAGTGAGAACAAATACTTGCTGATGACATTGGCTGGCTGGTCGTGCTAAAATCACCAATTAGCATAGGTTAGAATTCACAGGCCACTGAGTTGGGTTCCAGCAGCTGAATGCTTTACGGGCCTGTCTTGTAACCGGAAGGTTCTGAGTCTGAATCTCGTTGATGGGTGAGCGCTGTCGATAAGTTCCAAAAGCTAGGAAGAATCAGCTGTTCCAGTACCCCCTGGTTCTCCAACTGATACCAATCCGTGGTCAAACCTGAAATATAACAAATTCTGAGGTTTCAAATAGCTATACGCTGTACTATACATAGTAAGTGGTTTTTTAAGAAATATTGGCAAACCCAGTAACGTTAAAAAATGATAATTGTCTGACAAAATAAATCTTCTGGACTGGTCATTCCCGGATGAATCATTTACAGCCTACTTCAGTTTGATATAATCATTTCTGACACGTGATATGACTGGTTTTTAGTACAACGACATGTACATAGAGATTTTGCAATTACTCTTTATTATTACATAAATTACAAAAGTATGCCTGGACCATCGAAAATATCGTTTATATTAGTGACAAACTTACCGGAACAGGCTGGATTCAGGAGGAACACAGTCATGCATCGATCAAATCGCCACACTACGGATCATCATTGAACAAAGCTTAGGATGGCAGTCACCTCTCTATCTCAACTTCATCTACTTTGAAAAGGCCTTCGACAGCGAAGCGTCGATTGAGACGTGATTCGACAACTACTTCGCTACTACCAAGGGGTGCCGCCAGAAATTTTACATCTCAACCAGCAGTTGTACGACAATGCTGCATGCCAAGTAATCCACAACGGGAAACTTACGGAATCCTTCGAAGTAAAGATGGGAGTAAGACATGCTGGCTGGTGGCTGCCTACTATCTTTAATGATTTTCCTGATTGTAGTCGATTGGATAATGCGACAGAAACACAGCGGGCAGCGAGGAAACAGGCATAAAATAGACCCACACAAAAAACAACTTGGAGGATATGGACTTCATCGATGTCATATATATGTCTGATTTCCCACAAACTGGAAGATATGCAAGTGAAAAACAACAAGTCGGCAGAAGAAGCCTCTGGAGAAGATAGGACTTCCTCAGGTGAACATAGAGAAAACACAGGTGACGAAGATTCCTGGCCAACACCAACAACAAAAACAACAGACAACAATCAGCCAGCATAAATGGGAGGAACCTGAAGGAAACAACCTCCTTCACCTACCCACCTACCTACCTGGGAAGCATCGTTTCAACTACACGCTGACGGAACAGACGAAGATATCAAAGCAAGGATGGGGAAAGAAAGACAAACTTTCATTACTCTCATGTCTGTGTGGAGGTCAACAGCACTACTCAACATGAGAAATAAGATCCGAATTTTCAACTCCGATGTGAAGTCAGTGCTACTCACTATACGGATCAGACATTTGGCGCCATGTCTTGAAGAGTACGTCAAACAAACTACAGACCCTCATCAACATCTGTCTTCGCTGAAGATCAGATGGGCGGCCAGAAAAGATCAGCAACAGAAATCTTTGGGAGCGAACCAACTCAGCAGGAACCAATTGTGCAACAAATAAGCATGAAGAATTGAAGATGGATTGGCCATACTTTGAGGAAACTATCAAGTGTCTTCACTAGACAAGCCCTCGAGTGTAACCCGGAAGGCAGTTGTCGAGTTGGTCGTCAGTGCGAGGGTGACATGGAGGCGGAGGTCATGTGAAGAGGATATGGAAGCATATGGTCAGACGAGGAGCCAGGTGGAAACTTTAGCAGAGAACCGAGCGCATTGGAAACGTTTGGCTGAAGCCCTATGTTCCTCTAGGAATTAAAGGAAATAATAATGATAATAATAATAGTGACAAACTGACTGACTGAGTTCTAACATTGGACTTTAGAAGAAAATTCAGCACTTCTAATTTTCACACTTCTTGTATAGTACACTGAAGTAGAGAATGAAAAGGTCAATAATGGGCAGAAATGTGGGAGAGAAAGAATATTGACATAGCGAAATATGACGAATTAATTGATCTGGGATATATATAATAAAGAGTGTATGCATCTCTGCCAGTTAAAAGCTATTGGTTCCAAGCATTCCCGAGGACCACATCCGGACAGTCTAACTACCAACACCCATCCCACCACCACCAACGTGGCTCAAACTAACTGTCGAAGACTTCATGAATTTCACATGATGCTTTGGTTTGAGCACTTTTTTATGTTGATGAATAGCCGTGGGTTATTTTCTCAAGCTTGGAGACCTACTATTCAACTGCCTTGAAATGTAACCTATAATCTTATTCCTTCATCGCATGGAGATAGATTTTGACTTTCCTACAAGTAATGCAGAATTCCTAAATGCGAGACTATGCCGTCTTCACAATCACCATGCGTTTTATGTACTATGCGATGATTTTGAATACTGTCATTTAGCTAGGAATCCCCGAAGACTATAAGCCAGGAATACTATCAATCAGTGGTATAGAGCGTGTTGACCACCACTTATTTAGGAAGTTGCATCAGCCAGCCCCTGAATGGTTGATCGCTGACGAAATCTCCTCACGGATATTCAGAAGGCTCGTCTGGCACATGTCGATTTACGTCCTCGCCGGTGTAGTCTGTCTGTGTGTTTTTGACATAGAACTTTGCACCGACATGCACCAGTTCAAGTCGCCACACTCCCTCCTTGTAGCACACACAAAGCAAGAGAAGAAAGTAGAAGAAATGCATAATAGAGACAGTAAACAGAGGTGTGAGACAAAGGAATAGTAATAACGGAGAACAATATAGTTTCATTGGAAATCATAAGTCACAAGGAGTGGAAGCATCTGAGCTAGCCATCACTGAAAACGATTTTGAGCCATATCACACCAATTGTTTCTAGCCATTGGTTTTTACCGTCCCTAGGACCCCAACCAGTCAGTCAGCCAGTCTACACCTTCCTATGTGGCCTAAACTAACTGTTGTAGATTTCATTGAATGGTGTAGCCATGTATTGGTTTGACCGCCGCTAGCTCTTTTCCAGCCTGACCCTATGTCAGCTAACATTGCCCGTCGCCGGTGTAGACGTGATATCCCATTGGCTATCGTTGAAAGAACATATGTACTGGTCAGCAGTTCTCTCCGTCCTCCTTTTCATGGCTATCGGTAAGACATGGCCGTTGAAAGTGGAAGACATGAAAAGACTGGCCAGCTATCTATCATAAGTGTCTACATTGTATCACCCATGTGAAGGGGCATAATAAGGTGAGTAATATTGAGACCGTTAGGCTTCAGTCAAGTGCTAGGCAAGGGTGGAGGGGAAATCAATCGACGAAGTTGTGAAGTTACATAGATTGGGTTAGATTGTTAGGACATGTGTTACACACGCATGTCTAGCTATCGAGGGCCTTCCTCGACGGAAAATGTTAACTGACTGACATAGAACGAATCATGTAGGAAAATAACTAGTTGTGGTCAAACGAAAACATGGCTCCATCAGTCAGGGTCCTCGGAATGGGTGGAGACAGATAATTGGCGGTAAGGCTCGAAATCCTAGTTCTCACTGATGGCTGGCGTAGATACATTCACTTTTTGTGAGAGATTTATCATATCCAATAGAATTATATTGTTCTTCTATATTACTATCCTTTTTCCTTTCCCACTACTGTTTATTATTCTCTCTTATGAATCTGTCAGTGTTCTCTTCTCTGGCTTTGTGTTCTACAAGGAGGAAGTGTAGCAACTCGAACTGCTGGACATCTGTGCAAAGTTCTACGTTGAAACCAGTCCAATCAGTCATAATTATTACCAAATGCAGAAATTAAAATCTTTGCCTAGTTTCACATATTCAATAATGTTTTAGTATGTATTTTCAGAAACAAGCAATGACGGTGGTAGTCAGTGGTCCAATGGTAGGAATGCTAATCAGCCACACGTGGTAGGCCTGAGTTCAATTCTCGACCAACACACCCAAACCTCACCTTGTTTGACCAATCAGTAGTAAGTTCGGAAAGGAAGAAAGGTTAGGCATGAGGTTGACAACCTCGCCCTGTAAAAACCACATCACCGGCAGTGAAAATTCGAAGGTTGAAGCCTCTTATGTGTTCCATACAAACCTTAAGGATTGAATAAGATAGCATGCAAAAGATGCCTCCAAGCTCGATGAAGTCACTTTCTACAATCACATATCAAAACCACAAAAAACAAACATCAAATAACTATCATCCTCATCGTAGGCTATAAGTCTTCTTGATTGACTTAAGGTTATTTTGTAGGGATTTGATTGTTTAGTTACAGGATTTCATCATAAGCTGGGAGTGCGAAACAGCTGTTTCGTCCTAGTTTGGAACTCTTCAGCACTACGCACCCCTGCCACGGTTCGAACCCAGGACCTTCTGGTTACAAGGCGAATTGGTAGACCATTAAGCCACTGGGACCTGATCCAATGGCCAGCCCATGAATTCTAACCTCTGCTAATTCATGACATAGCGCGACCGCTAACCAATGTCAGCATAGACCGAGCATTCTCGTACAATCACACATAACAGGTGATTCAGCAATTAATAATTTTAACGTATATTTCTCTATCCTCTTAGTCATTTCAAATTCTTCCCATAGCTTTAAAAAGAATAATAGTAATAATAACTATTATTATAATTTTCTCTTCTTGACAGTAATCCTAAAGCGAATTCAACTATTGCAGCTGTACATGATGAACCATCCGGTTATTGTGAATGTTGTTCCGTAAATTTTAAAAGTTTATTTGAGGTTAGTTGCAATTCTGATTAATTCTGTGATTGTTATTATTCATTCCATGTAATCCAAGTGACCTCAAGGCTACATTTTTCATTGAACTTGGTTCTATACCAACACTTTGAACTGGCTCCTCAATTGTCTGTAGGCCTTCATTTCCCCTTCATATGATCTCTTCCACGTTACCCTCGGATCCACGCCTAACTTCTCTCCTCAATATTTCAGTTTCACTCGAGAGGCTTAACGTTTCACCTTCCCTTGATGATCCCTCATTGTATGTATGACTGTCTGTTCGTTAATATGGAGGGCATGCCTTTTGTAAAAATGCCTGTAGTGGTGGTGGTGGTGCTGACGTGTGCTCCGAATGTCTGAAGCATAGAGATGCACTCACTACTGACTTGAGATTTGTTTTGGTTGCGATAAGTGATGTTGTGGACCTCCAGATTGCTAGTACTTCTATGCTAATATATATATATATATATATATATATATATATATATATATATGGCTTCTCATTTCTTCGGTGACCTATAAGCAGTCTTCTTGGCTTCGTACATCTTGTGAAGACACTCTATGTCCCTATGCTTCATTTTTGTGTTTCATTGGAAGTAGGCGCATTGGCTGGATTGGCTACCTGAGCGCTTTTACTAGCCGGTGTCATTCCATCTCTTCCCGATTCCAGCGTAGAATAAGTTTTAAAAAATAAATTTTTATTTTGTTTTGAAGTTTCTGTGGAGGGTGGGTAGGTTGATTTTCCCTGGAACGGTTGGTAGCCCTACGCCTAATCTCCCCGTCTTTTCTCGTTCTTAGGACTGGCCGGCTCTAGTCAACTAGGCGCCCTGCAGTGTAAGCCTTCACACCACACTAATTTCAGAATAATTATATATAGAAATAGTGACAACAATATATCGATGATAGGAAGAATGAAATGTCCCGTTTTATGAACTAATTAACAGAAAGTCAATAGTTTCATGCCTAACACTTCCTGATCACATAGATTGCGAGTCGTAGAGTTTTTATTCTCAGTCATTAGGGCATAAAGTCTTTTATAACTGCTTCGAAGTCCTCTCCGTGATGATAATTTGCTTTGACAGAGAGAGAGAGAGTTGTGTTTAGAGAGAGCATGGTTAAAGTTCAACAAAGTGATATTCACAAATTTCTTACATGATGAGTTCATGTGTCTGTCCACAACAGGACTCACAAGTTGGCTTAGCCACATACCACCCTCTCTACCGACAGATTTATGCGCCCTCTGCAGCGTATTATTATTCCCATGGGTTCCGAGTGGAACATATGGCGTTAGTAGCACAGTGGTTAGGACTCTCGCCGACCATGCACATGGTCCGAGGTACGATCCCCTGCCGACGAAGTACACCTGATACCTATGGTCCTATGGTCGGCCCGCAAAATTTGGGCTACCGATATCATATGCTGAAAATTCCATACTTGTACCAAAAATACAGTGTGGAATCAAGCTGTAGATCAAAAAGAAATAAATAAACAACACATCTCCACTTTTTTCTTTTTCCTGTTGTCCTCTTCATCCGGTTAGCCACACTATTGCCAACAATCTGTCATCTCCTCCTCCTCGCCACACGACCTCCTTCATGTCACCATCATACCAACGCTTAAACTCCATCGTTTACCATTTGAATTCCACTCGAGTGATGCTTTGCACTGCTCGCGATGTCATTCGACAGTCTCCTCACCGTGTGTACAGTCCATCTCCATTTTCTCCTACATATTTTTGGAGTAATCGGCTATTGGCTAGTTTGTTACCAAGAGTGTTGCTGGTAATTCTTTCTGATCCGGCATCTGATCTTCAATATGGCTGCATCGAAGGAGGAAGTCGTTAATAAAAGTTTATAATAGTCTGTTGAAAATGTTTGTCGTGACACGCTGGCCAAGTTTCTGACCCATGTAAAAAAATTAAACGGAATTCACATCGGTGTGTTGATATTCCAAATCTTGTTGTTTATACTGTCGCGGCGGAGTACAGGGGATTTCCAACCTAACTTAAGAGTGGTGAAGGTGTATCTTGCCTTTCCAATTCTGGCTTTCTTTGACATCCTCATCCATGCCGTCCGCCTGAAGTTGAGACGATGCTTCCTATCCGGATAAGTGGAGGAAGAGGTAACCTCTTTTAAATCTCTCCCTTTGATGGTTATTGGTTCTGGGTTGCTATTTGCGGTTGGTTATCTTCATCACCTTCATCTTCTCTGTGTTCACCTTCAGTCCTGCATGCTCCATCTACCAATTTGTTGGTTTTCGCTTGTAAGTCTTCAAGTTTGTGTGACATTAAACATAAACCATCACCAGCGATGTTCAAATCTTCTACTCTGCAATGTGACGAAGTCGTTTTTCAAGTATTGGTTTGTAGGGATTTAATTGGTTACAGGATTTCATCATGAGCTGATATCAGTTAAAAAACCATTGGAAAAGCTGCAGAAAGTACTAGACAACTGTTTCTGTTGTCCTAGTTTGGGACTCGTCATCAATACGCACCCACATCACGGGGTTTGAACCCACGACCTCCTGATTAAAAGGCGAGCTCGTAGACCATTCAGCAGTCACTGGGATCCGATCCAATGGCCAGTGCATGAATTCTAACTTCTGCTAATTCATGACATACCGCGACCGCTAGCTAGTCAATGTCTTCTGTGGCGAGTATTTGTCCTTACATCCGACGTGCTGTACCCTACTGGTCACGACTTGTCACTAGAACCCCAGGCAACCACCTACCTGAATAGGGCAAGCAGCTAGTGAGCATCACATTGGTATTCAAGTGTGTGTTTTCTTAAAAGTAACCCAGGAAAGATTAATGCGTAGTAATAAATAGGGTGATAGATTAAAGACAAAAATTAACAAAATTTAAAAGTATCAACTAAGTGATACCAGGTTGTCTTTGTCGCGTAGAATCTGTAGGCGAAATATTTTCGTAGGAATTAGCATAATACGGGAAGACCAGGAAAGTTCAGAGGAAAAACCCAATCCCAGATAGTTAACATTCAATTTAGTTTCAACTCTAAGTACCTTCTATGATACAAGAAACTAGCTCACGTAAATCACGTTTGGACAAGAACCACTGCTGACAAACTTCTGATAAAAAGGTATTCATTTTGAAATAGTTTTGTTGGGAAGTAACTGGTATGGAAACAGTCGAATCATTGGCATAGATAAGAGAATCGGCGCAAGTCATGCAAGAAGAATAAAAAATCAGGAAAGGTGGACACCAGCTACAGTAAGTAAACCAGTAGAAGACTTTTCCTCGTACGCGCCTTCGTACGCCTTCTTATCAGAAAAATAAAAATGTAACTGAACAAAGAATATTTTTTTCAATAACCCCCTTCTCCATCAAGTTCTACACTTATATATACATAACAGTGAATGAATTAGTGCTGTTAACAATAATAATGTTGTTTAGATAACATCGAATCAATAATAATAATAATATCAATGGATTACAGTTCAATAGCATCAACATAACACTACACACTGAATATTAGAAAAATTAGGAAATTTAATAATACACAAATTCATGATTTTATAGTCTCCACTAAAGGTCAGGACAGTAGTAGTGACTGGACTTGCTTCTTTTGCACACAGAGCACCGGTTGTTTAGGGTGAATCGTGATGGCCTCTGCCGTTTGGAGTATATGATACCTGGATGTTTAGGCAGTTTATTTGCCATCCTATAGATTATGTTGGAGAAGGATTCATCAATGCTGGCTGCCTTTTTGGCTAGTTTGGATCAGGTGTTCTAATCTTCGAGTTATTGATGCTTCTCCCTACGCCTTTATTTAACCACACTGGTAGATGTTCTCGAGAGATTTAAAAAAAAACCAAGTTCCTAGAGCAACGGCCAATATAACTGGCTCCACCCGAAGCGTAGTTGAATTGGTAGATAAAATTTGAAGTGGCCAGTTAGTCTAGGTGCATCATCTTTCAATTCAGGAATCACCACCGGTCGTGTGGAAGATGAGACTTGTAATTTGCCAGCATTATTATTATTATTTCGCTCTTGAATTGTAGTGGTATGTATAAAAGGCTTCTTATTTACGAATAGTGAATAGTCCTTTTCAACTTTCTTAGTCATATGTTTCCTGATGAATTGATCTGGATAGCTATTTTCAATCAAAGTGTCGTATACAATGCTTGTTTCACTTTCGACCGTGTCTACTGAGCATATAGCTTTAACCCTGTTGCTGAGGGTCCTTACTAGATTTCTTTCGTACTGGAGAGGAACAAAGCTGCGAAAATGTGTGTATATTGTCCTGTCGGTTTGCTTTTCCAAATTAAATTTCTCTTTATACTACCACCTGGTCTTCTTGTAAGGAGGAAGGCAATTAATTCTATTTTGGGATTCCTCTTCGCAAGTGAATTTCATAGCAGAATGCACTGCATTGATTTGTCTTATTATTATTGTGTTCCTATCCGAATCATTACCACTAAGAATGACGGTGTCTCATCCATATACCGGCAATAAAAGGAGAGCTTTCCGATAAGGTGGATGTTCAAAGGTTCATTTTCGAGTTTGTATTAGAAAGAAATCCGCCAGTATGAGAGCCCATTGCCACCCCATCCACTTGTCTGTAAAGTGTAACATCAAGTATGCAACGTATATCCATGGAACACCTTAATAACAATTCTTTTAGGATTTAGCTAAAAATATTGATGATGATAATAATAACAGCTAATAAGTAATCCCTCAAAATGCCAGACTATTGACTTCTCTTTTAGGCATAAACGAGATCTACAAACACTAGTAAGCACTCATGAAGCCTGTAGCATTGAGGGGAGTAAAATTGAAACTAAGTTTAATGCAAAATACCTCGGACTAGTTCTATCTTCCGATCTTACTTGGTCATCTCATATCCTAACGATTTCTAAGAAAGTGTTTCGTCTAACCTGCTACATTGAGAAACTCAGACTAACTGGAATCACTCAACCTCTGCTTTCACAATTTGTCAACTCTCATATTCTACCTATTCTACTTTACTGCTCCCCATTGGTCT